TGTCATTTTGTGTCTTTAAATATTGAAAATAGATGTTCAAGATTTTTTAAAATTTTTATCAAATCCGAATCAAACATAAAGTGGATAAGAAAAAGTTTCAAATAAGTAAAGAGAGAAGCAAAGAAAACATAAACCATAATGCAAGTCGATATTTTTAATGAGCATGCAGCAGAAAACAAAATGATAGATAAAAATCCATGTAATCTGGCCCTCCCTGGTGGTGCAGTGGGTTAGGATGCAGCACTGCAAGCTAGCACAACCACTTCAGTTTAAATTCGATCCCCAGGCCCAGAAGTTAGCACATAGCACGAAAGACCTCTCCTAAGCTCCCCTCAGCAGTGTACTTTGTCGTTCTGCCTGTCATGCTCCCTACTCTGTCTCTGGTGAAGCCTCTCACCGACCCTGAGCCTCTGGCCTGTGCCTCAAGTCTGTATGCATAAATAAATAAATAAATAGGTCTTTTAAAAAATCCCTGTATCCATGACTATAAAAATATAATTCGCATTCCCTGTTCAAGACAAATATCCTGAAATTAATATCCAGTTATGTATGCATTACATTAGAGTTACTCAAAATAAAAAAACACACAGATCACAAGTAAAAGAGTGATCCAGGGTTTCAATGTAAGGAAGGACACATTAGTAACCATATTCATTTAAAAGAAAGATGAATGCAAGGCAAAAAGCATTAGAAAGGACAGTACGGATGCAGTTGATATTGAGGAACTACACAAGACAAGGATTGTTATAAGCATCATTATATTTAATATTATTCTGGTCAAACCAGTGGAGAATGGAATAGAAATAAGAAGAATGATTACTGAAAAAGAGAGGACAAAATTATTATCATCAGTGCAAGATATAATTATGGTCTTTAAGAGGAAAAGAAATGAAAAATTCTTAGAATAATTGAACTCAAGAAAGAAGCTACAAAAAAGAAAATTATACCAAAAAATAGCTTTCTTATTATCATCTGTAGCAATGAGAAGATATAATGGAGGGGAAAGAATCTATTCACAATAATTTTACAGAAACAAATTGTCTAGGACCGGCCTTAGTAACTGCTCCAGCTACATGAAGAAAATTGCAAACTTTCCAGAAACATATCAAAGACCATTTGCCTAGATGAAGTGAGATACCTCATTTCTGGATAAGACTCCATATGGTAAATGTTCTAATATTTCAATTCTTTCCAAAATAATTTATAGCTTTAACCACTCTTGATAAAGATACATAGTGGCTTTAAAAAAAAACTTTATTTTTTAAGATTTACTTATTTATGCATACAGAACTGGGGTATAGGCCAGAGGTACAGGGGCAGTGAGAGGATTCACCAGAGACAGCGTGGGAAGCAAAACAGGCCGATGATGTCAAGACAAATGACTGTGGAGTGGGTTCATTCTACATAAAAGATCACTAAAAGGGTAAAGATCCAATAAAATTAATTTTTTAAATATAAAAAAATAAACCCCTAATGCAATACAAAGAGAGGAAAAAGAGAAGTCAGTCAGAAAGAAAAATGGCTCCAATTTCATTCTTAAAATAAGAAATCATTAGGGAACCCAAAGTTTCAGACTGGGCTCAGCCATATACAGCTTTATTCACAAGACAAACTATGCAATTTCTTTATCCCCACTATAAAATAAGTTACTTGGACTAAGTCAACTACTTCCAAATTTGCTGATGATCATTTTTTTTTATCAGGTGGCTCTTAAACTTGCAAAATATGCATAGTTCTTACTATGTGCCAGGTTTTACGACAAGTGCTTAGTAAGTGCTATTTCATTTAATCTTGATTATTCTAAGAAGTAGATACTATGACACCCCATTTTAAGATTTTCAAAAATGAGACATAAAGTTCAAAGTCACACAACTAATTAATAAGTTATTTGAAATCATCCAACCTGGGCCCAGTGTTCATTCTTTTAATTATTCATATTAAATTCAAATTCATCCTTTAGAGGCTCCCTTAGTGTTCTATCTGGTCAATTTGACCAATCTCAATTTCTTTTTTCCAAATCTCAGTTGTAAGTTTCTGTGATTTGAGCCCTCCCTAAACACAGTGCGTTAAAGCACAGCACAAAGACGCTAAAGCCACTTCAGGATGATTTCGATCCCTGGACCCAAAGGTGATCTCCATGGCAAAGCAAACCTCTCTCCTGACCCACCACTGCTCCTCTCAGCATTGTATTTCATTAGTCAGCCTGTTCTGCTCCACAATTTGTCTCTGGTGAATCCTCTCACAACCCCTGCACCTCTGGCCTGTACACCAGTTCTGTATGCAGAAATAAATAAATCTTGAAAAAAAAAGATTCTGTGATTTGATTGATCATTCCTTATCATTTCTTCAACAAATCTTTGGGATAATCATATTCAATACTTGCATCTCTTAAAAAACCTAATGCAAAGTCACGTGAAAGACGTAAAAAGATAGGGGTAATTCACAAATGTAAACCTGGATCACCTTAGAGCAGTACAAAATCTGAGCTGTTTCAGCAAGTATACAGTCACCCTGGCTTCCCAAATAAGCCAGTTAGAAAGTATATAAATAAGCAGAGCAGCATGTTAAATATTTCATGTAAATTGATTCCATTTTCTGCCATTATCTCAACATGAAGCGATCAAGAGAAGGAAATGTCAGAAAAACTTGAAAGATCAGAAGTTGAAGGAGTCCCTGGGGACCTGCCTTTTCATTACCCAGCCCTTTATCTCAGTCTAGAAGGGTGAAAATGATACAATCTACTATATGCATAAAAGTGAGATTAGTTCCCCTTTCTCCTAATTTCCCAGTGTCTCTCTCACAGAGTGGACATATGGACTGTGATATTCTCTAACAGGTAAAAGGAGTTTCCAATAAAGTTGGGGGAAATGAAGCATGAAGGGAAAATGAAAATCAAATGGAAAAACAAAGAAAATAGGAAAAGGAGACTCTAGTTCTTCCTAAGTTGACCGAGCTATGGCACCTAGATAAGAGCCAGAGAAAGGAAATTAGTGATCTATACAAAAGTTACTCTTTTAGGTATTTACTGATAAAATAACTAAGTCTGTAGGTCCAATTGATCACTGGACAGTTCTACCCACAACTGCATAGGAGCTCCACCTGAGCATCCCAGTGGATAAGCTGTCTCGGTGGGGTCATCTAGAGACACACACATGACCAAGATCTACCTTGTATATGATTTTACTTCTGCTGTCTGTGAGGTCCAGTCGGATAGAGACATAGTCAACATTGGGAGAAGGAGGACTCTTATGTTGATAACGAAGCCCCATCAGCAGGAACTCCTCACAGCTCACTTTGAGACTTCCTATTTTCTTCAGCCCCAGGGTACAGCTTCCATCTGGACACTTCAGTTCTTTCCCCAGTTCTGGAAAATACAATATTGAATTAAGATAGTCACCTGAACATAGTGATTATAAAAATAGTCATCTTTTCTCCCATAGAAACTAATTCCCTCTCACTGCCCCCAAAATATGTCTATGGATAGATGCCAATCATTCATTGGGTGAATCACGATTATAAAAGCCTACCATTTCCATTACTGAAATAAAACCTGACCATTTGTCTCATCAGGTTTTTGCCCACCAAAAGAAACACTGAGAGAAAAATCAAATGTGTTTTAAGCAGTATGGATTTAAATATGGATCTGCCATAGAACACTGCAATTCTCCTCCTAGGTATCTACCCAAAGATTACAAAAACAATAATTTGAAGGGAACTACACACCTCATGTTCATTGCAGCACTATTTGCCACAGCCAGGCTATGGAAACAAACTAAATAGCCAAATACAAATTAGTAGATCAGAAAGATAGAGTTTATATATTCACAATGGAATACTACTCAGCTATCAAAAATGGTAAATTCTTGCCGTTTTCAGCAACATGGATGGAGGTGGAGGGGATTTTGCTATATGAAATAAGTTAGAAGAACAAAGAAATACTAGATGGTGTCATTTATATGTGGAATACAGAGAGACTAGACAAATGGCCAGATAAAGCCAAACTAAGTGATCCCTAGAAATCTGATTATAGAACTGAGGCTACAGGACAGGGAAGGGGTGGGAGAAGGGTCAGAGCAAGTAGAGAGGTAGCACGATGAACTATGGTGGTGGACTGTAGGTATTATAGCAGTGGACATGGTGTTGTAACGCCTGAGGAGGAAGAGCCTATAATCTAATACACAAACTGATATAAACCAAAATTATTGCAGTAAAAAAAAATGAAACAAAATGTGTTACCTGGTGCCTTACTGCTTACATTTAAGCCAGTGCCTTCCTGAAAGCCTTGTACAGTCCAATCCCTGTGTTCCTTTACAGCTTCCACGTCTATGGCTCAATAACACAATCTCTACTGGACTACCATAGTCACTGAAATTCTCTGTCCATTTTGCTAGCCACACACTCAAATTCTGAATGTCTTTCCTGACCCACTCATCTTTTTCCTGAACCTTCCCATAAACAGTGTTTAGCCACCAGCACCAACCTGCTCTCTCCCACCAACAACCATAAATGTCTCTCCAATAGTCATCCTGTCTCTGACCAAATGCATTTTTCACTCCCGTGGGATATATGACACCCACAGGCCACTGAATTTTCAAGTGGTATTTTATATATTTCTCTGATATACAAATTGGGTATTCTACTTCATAATCAGATGGCTATGAAGACTACATGATATGACTTACATGTAAACATGTCTTTAGCCATAAACTACTATCCAGATTTTAATTATTAATATGAATGTGATAACCCTTTATATTCTTGGTCTTCTCATGGTGCCTAGAATACTGTTAAACACATATGAGGTATCCAAGATACACTGATAGAATGATTAATAGAACGAACATTACCCATCCACTCTTCCTGATGTCAACCATGGCTGCTACCCATCAATGCTACCTCAAACCTGCTTCTAATCTAATATCATGTAATAAACACACCAACCATTCTTACAACCACCACCATAGCTACTATTACTAATCGCAGCTGACACCTGCAATGAAGAACACTGTGTTGACAACTTGGCGTAGGTAATCTCATTTACTCCATATTCACACCACTCTGTGGAGACAGACCAACTACACTCTTTGACCATTTTACAGAGGCATAAGTAACTTGTCTGAAATCACACAGGAAATAATAAGCAGAAGCAGTTTTCAAACCCAGGTCATTATGATTCAAAGTCCATACTCTGAACCATTAACCTACATTTCTCAATCAACTACAAGCTATACTAAGGAAAACTCCTGTCATAAAGAAAGATGACCAGTTAGAGATATTTTTGCTAGTTTTAGTAAATTCCAGATAAGTATTAAAATATGGCATACGAGGCTCAGGAAAAAAACTATGTGGCTGATCTCCACGAGGTTCTTCTGGCTGAGGCTCCACCAGAACGATCTGGCCATGGGCTGGCAGCCGAGTTCCCACAGGGTCCAGGCTGACTGTGCATTCCAGGCTGGCTGTCCTATCATAATCAAATCTGAGCAGGTTCTTATCGATGGCACGGGACAGTCCATAGAATTCAGACACCTCCAATACATTGTTACTCAGATGGATGATGTTACAGTCTGGTTCCAGGAGGTAGACCCTGAGGATAAAGGTTTCTATGAAGGTGTCTGTCTCAGTAAATCTGTGGAAGAGAACAGAGCAAAGGTGACATTTATTGATACTCAGGTACTTCTGACATATATATGCTGACTTGCAGGTGAAGACTGACCTTCACAAAATTTGGACATTGAGCAGAGTATGGATTTTATTTTATACACTAAGCCCAAGCTCTTTGTTCTTTTCCTTTCTTCTCTTGGTCTCATCCCCTTTTTTCTACCTTTCCATTAACCTTTCTTTCACCCATCCATCTTTCTCAAACCCACCCCCCTAATGACTGCTGTAAGTTAGGTGCCTCACATCTAGCACACCTGCAATTTGAATATTAAATTTGTGTAATTCATGGATCAGGTTTTAACTCCGGGATAAAAGGATAAGGAGTTTCTGAACCACCAAGGCCTTTTTGCTCTTTACAAATATCACTAGCTGAGAAGTTCCCAGGTTAGTGCTTGGCACATAAAAGGTATTCAGTGATTGTTACTTCCATTCCCTCAGCAAGTACACCCTCTGCATATAAGTACAGACTAAATGGAGAATCACTAGTCATTTGAAAAGAGAAAATTAATGAGTGAAGGATATGCAGGTCCTTTTATTATAGCTCAGATATATGCTAAAATCTCCATTCTGCAAAGGAACGTGTGATAGGCACAAGTTAATCACATTTTACAGATGAATAAACTGAAGCATAGAGGTCAGGTAACTTGCCCAAGGGGCTGGAGAGAAGGCTGAGGAGGGAATAAATGTGAAGCCTGATTTCTACCTCCAATTCCTCAGGATATTTTATTGTAAACATCCTCAAGCTCCCTTAACTCTGCCCTTGAACGTGCTTCTCCACCCTTTTCATGCCTTTGAAACTCAAGGAAGAAATGGAAGCAATCAGATTTCATTGCAGTCCTTCCAGCAAACTTTCTGAAGTTAGTTTGTTTTATAACTTTAAAATCTTCAAAATAGCATATGCCTCTGCAGACTGGTTGAGTAGCTTCCCAAGGAATCCATAGGTGTCATTTCATGTTCTGATCACAGCACCTTTGGGCAACTGCCGAAAGTGTCAGGCCCCTTTTTGGCAACTGTCATTCTGCAGCACACCATCTACCCATCAGTTGCATCAAACTATGGATACCAAGAGCCTCATCTTGTGTTGCCTATTCCCGGTGATCACAAGAATGATAATGCTTCACTGTTCCAATGAATCAAATAATACAAACCTCTTTTCTATTAGTCTGGTATTTTAGCCAAATATTCTTAAGAACAGTAAAATCAAGTAAAAAAGAAATCTATCTAAAGGTTCACTCTACCTACACTGAATTGTCCGTTGCTTTTTATAAAGTGAGCAATACCACAATCATGTGCTTAGTTTTCAAATTAACTTTTTATTAAGACATAAATAATTTATCATAAAACTCACCTTTTGAAGTATATAATGAATGACCTTTAGTATAGCTACAAGGTTGTAAAACCACAATTACCTATTATTTTCATCACTTCAAAAAAGAATCCACACCCATCAGCAGTCACTCCCTTTTCATCCTGCCCCTAACCCCAGCAACTGCTGTTCTACTTTTTGCCTTAATGGATTTGTGTTTTCTGGGTAGCACATGGAAATAAAATCGTACAATGTAACCTTTTGGGTCTGGCTTCTTTTATTTAGCATAATGGTGTGAAGATTTATTTATATTTTAGCAGGTATCAGTATATCGTTGATTTTTATGGATGAGTAATATTCCATGTATGCATATACCACTGTTGAACTGCATTCATCAGTTCAACTATGTGGCTAGTGTTGGTAATGCTGCAATGAACATTTGTGTACAAATATTTGTGATCACCGAATTTACTTCTCTTACATATAAATCTAGAAGTAGAACTGCTCCATCATATGATCATTCTGTGTTTAGCTTTATAGTCAATTTGAAGATATTTTTATTACTTAATATTTTAAAATATAAGACAGTATATACTTCCTGCTATGAAAAGCTAAAATTAATAAGAACTTCATTCAATATTGGGATATATTTTTCTCCTAATTCTTCATAGGAATTTCCAGTTATTAACTTTCATTTCCTATCATAAGTGGGGGGGTAACTTCCCAGAGATATAAAAATGTTAAAGAAAACAACATAGGGACAATAATTTGCTACTGAAAAACCCCAAGGAAAAGGCTACAGATAGAGATATCTGACAATCGGCTGCAATTCTTGCCTCACCCCCTCACAATTCTAATTTCTCCTGATTGCTTCCTTATTTTAAATCTAGTAACTCCCTTCAGGATTATATCCATTCATGGAAAAAGTCCAAAAATTTCCACAGGATGGTTGTCTGGCAAAGAACAGACATTGGTTCTGTGCCGCTTACCTGTAAAGTCTAAGTTTCACGGTGTCTTCATCAAGAATTGGGCAACCATTGTGAACATACTTTACTTCATTGGGAAGGAAATGGCAGTCAAATACCTAGTTCACATGAAAAAAATGGATAAATATCTGTGAGAAAAGGGGTGCATAATTTAATTTTTCCAGCAATAAACCTTTGCCTGCAGAATTATGTATACATGAGCACCTGTGGATGTATGTGTGTATCTGATCTTTTTTAAGATTGATTTATTTATGCATACAGAACCAGAGATGTAGGAGTGGTGACAGGATTCACCAGAGACAGAGTGGGGAGCAGAACAGGCAAATCAATGAAGTACACTGCTGAGGAGAACAGCAGGCGAGACTGGAAAGGTCTGCAGTGCCCTATGGGTCACCTCCAGACCAAGAAATCAAACTTGCACTGAAGCGGCTGCAGCCAGCTTGCAGTGCTGCACCCTAACCTGCTGTGCCACCAGGGAAGGCCTGTGTGTATGTTTTAACAGCCAGCATCTCTACTCACTCCTATGCTCTTCCACCATTTTAATTGTATAGTTGTATGTTGTTTTGAGAATATCTAAATTATGAAAATTCAAATAAATAAGTTAAGGACTATCTCTCTAAATGATTGCCTTTTACAGTCTACAATGCATGTAAAATATGGTTCCATTTACCAAAATGTTATTTACACACACTTTCAAGGATTCATAACAACTACTGGAGAGATCTACCTGTGTGTATGCATGAAAAACTATTATGCCCCACACAAACACACTATATTATTTCTGTTCATACTTTTTCTTCTCCTTTTAGGTCTTGCTTTTTCAAATACTATTTTTGTATTAAAAGTAAAGTCACTGATTACAGACCTCATCAGAGCCAAATGTGAGCAAGAGTTCCTTTTCATATTGCCAATTATATAATAGCAGAGATGACTGATGAGACAAACAGAAATCTAAAGACAATTTCTTCTCTTCAAATAAAATTATAATTAATTGTTTCATCTCACTCAGAACTATGAAGGAGAATGCTGTTATTTGAGAGTCTTAGTTTTCAGAAGAAGCACTTTCTCTTTCATCCACACCATGACCTCCATTCTGTCCAAACTGACTTGGTAAATTTCTGAGAAATGCCTTTAGGTAGTCACACATGGTCACTAAGGAGGTCATGGTATTTAGCCATACCTTTTTGCAAATTCTTCAAATATTCTCAGATAACATGATCCTCTCTGAGATGACTTTATCACCAATACAAAAGATCTTTCCCACAGACACTGCTGACTCCTTTTTGTAATTGACAAGAGAGGAAATAAAGGAAAGACCCTCCCCATATCATTGACAAATAGTCATGGTAATAAAGAGACAATCTGCTTTGTTAAAAGAAACATCTGTTTTATGTTTCCTAATATGTTTTCCTTTTATAAAAGGCGACAACCATAATTGTCCATAAATTCACTAACTAAAACAAAGGAGAGCTAAATCCTTTTCTAATTACTGTCTAGCTTTGTTTTTTTCCACTTCAACTGCTTTTCAATTACAATTTATAATTAAATTGTCACACATTCCTAACTCATTACTCACTTTAATGACAGTAAACTGGTTCAAACTGGAGATATTTATTTTCTTACCACTGTATACCCTATTGAAAAGGGCAAACTCAGAATTAAACTGGAGTACTTTCCACTTGTAAATTTCTTACTCTGGGACAGGTGTGAGAAGCACTGTGTGGACATGTCTTGTCCTAAAACATGAGGAAAACATATTGCCATCGACCTTATCTAATTGACTACATCAAGAGGGTTATCTAAACAGAAGGTACTGGTGTGCGCTGATTGAAATCCCTATCCAAATATCCAATAGGAAAATGAACCTGTTGGTCCTAAGACAAACTTCAGTAATGAAATGAAAACACTAATTGAACAGATGTTAAACAAAACATTTTCTGTGCAAATCACATGAAACTGTTCATTACACAGCAGGGTGTTGTTAATACAGTTGTCTTGCTAGAAATGGGTTCACATAAGCTTTGCTTTCAACTTACTATTAAGCTCTATAAAAGAATAATGTTTAGGCTCTGTGTGCGTGTGTGTGTGTGTTGAGTGTGCATTCATGCATGCTATGTTTCATTTCAAAAACTACATAAAAAGTAAGTTTCTAGGAAACGTTGAATCAGCCTGAATTAAAAATTCCAAAGTGGTAGACTTTACTTGGAAATCCTATCTTTGCTGAAACTATATAATAAACAAGTAGGGAGATCACCTGGAAGTTTGACAAGCAAAGTTTCCCAGGTTTACAGATTTCATTATGTGACAAAATTCTAATATTTGACCATAAGGTGATGAAAGTCCACAATTAAATGGACTTCTTTTCCATAGGATAAATTTTAGAAGACATAAATACAATATGTACTTTAGAGGACACAGGTTAATTTGTGGTATCAAATTTACCTCTGGAAATACATGCACTGAACATTTTCTTGTGATCAGCCACACCACACAAGGGAATATGTGGAGTTCCTTAGGTACCCTAGGAGTCCAGGCAAAAAAATCAGCCAGCCAAGTCATTTCTTCTCCACAATGTCTTTCTACTAACTCAATTTTTCCTTAAAATTTGCAGAAGTTTGAGGTGCAGATGATTTGGAGATCTATTATCCCATGAGCCTTAAGATCAAAAATTTCCTACCTGTATTTAATCACTCAGATCCTTTTTCCTCCTAAATAAATGCCTTACAGCCAGTCAAATGGTAAGGACATTAAAACATCACTAAAAATATATAATGGAGATAATTTCATTATCCTCAGAGAAAGCAGTATATATGTTTAGAGTGCACAGGTTCTTTGGAGAAAACAGAAAAGGACACCCCTCAGATTATCCTTAATACCAGGACATCCTCCCCAAATTCTTTTCTAAGAGAGGAGAATCTGGTGAAGAACTGGGCTTTGTTTTGCTCGGTAGGGAATGTATGCTTAGGGCAGGGTTAAACACAACTGCACAGGTTGCTCCAGGAAGCTCCAGGGAGGAAGTTTCATTCTTCTCTCCCCACAGAAGAGTCAGCCTCACTGTTAAATAAATGAACATTTTTAAAATACATGTTGATTTGAAGCTCAACTGACTGAATAGTTTATCAACCTTTACAAAGCACTGCTTATGTCCCTTCTAGCTGGATCTGAGACCAAGTCCTCTAAGATCAGGATCCCCTCTTGCTCTTCCTAAAATTCCCAGGCTTTGCTTTGACTCCTTTCCCAGCAGTTGGGTCTCTGTGGCCTGCTTTTAGACTTAGCCATGTCTCAAACTCATCCCATTTGATACACCTGGGCTCAAGGTGTGTGCTAACCCTGGCTGATAGATGCCAAATATATACCTCCGCATTGCAAGTTATGTTGGGAGAAAGTCTAGAGTTATGGTTTTCAATTACCAAATGCTCAGAACACAACATGTTAAGAATAGGGCCAGCATTGTCTAACATCTTTCTGAAGCCATGCTCAAATTCTTGACTGACAAAAGAAAATGCCATAGGAAACTCGGAGGTTACATCTGGTGACTATCACCACAGGAATTTTCCCAATGTGAGAACCCCTTCTACAGATTCTGATGTGTTTCAGAATTAGACCCTCAAAATGTCAGTTTTTAGCTAGCATCTATCTCACTCTCTTAGTTCAACTCTACAACATCAAGGCCACTTTTGAAAAACCTCATAAAATATGTGGGGTTTATTTTACCCAAATGGAAAAAGAAATTAATGTTCACAGTTCAGGGAGTGGGATGGTATATTTTTCTAGAAGCAGCAACCAGCAGTGAATATCCTCAAAGTTGTTTGCATTGGAAGGAACTTTAAGCCACAGTAGAGACAAGTCATAAAACTAAAAACAATTTTTATTGTGTGAGGAAATAAATTCCTACTTTAGACAAATATATTGAGATAATGCAGATTTCTTTAAATCCAATAAATTAGAAGATAATTCTTCACCTTAAAAAAAGAGTGAGCATAGAATACCCTTAAATGACAAGGTCTCTGAATTTGGATTAAAGAAAAAAAATTACATCAATATTTTGGAGGCAGATTTAATATTTAAAGGAAACTATCTTGGTATCTATTTCCACACTTCTCAGTCTCCCTGTCTCTCCTTCCCTCTCCTTCTTAATACATAAAAATGAAAAATATGTAATTCTTTTATATTATGCCCTTTCCTAAATGATTAGCTGCTCTATAAGGTCAAATGGTGGGCATGATTTATAAGAGTTCTTATCCATAAAAGAGGATAAATTGGAAAGATGTTGATTTGACCCATTAAAAATAAAAAATACAGGGCCCTCCCTGGTGGCGCAGCGGGTTAAAGCACAGCACTGAGAATCTAAAAGCGCTTCCGCATGAGTTCGATTCCCGCCTGCCCTGGAGGTGACCACATGGCGTGGCAGACCTCTCCTGACCCGCCCGCTGCTCCCCTCAGCAGTGTACTTCGTCGATCTGCCTGTTCTGCTACCCACTCTGTCTCTGGTGAAGCCTCTCGCCGCCCCTGAGCTTCTGGCCTGTACCCCAGTTCTGTATGTACAAATAAATAAATCTTTAAAAAAAAAAATAAATAAAAAAAAAATAAATAAATAAAAAATACATCCATATTAGTTGGAATCTGCCTTCTTCCATAGGTGTTAGTGCAAACAAGAGGAAATTCCACTGGTTTCAAGTTGTAATCCCCATTCCAAGCCAATTTTTATCAATAGTAGATCATTATATTGTATACTTGAAACTAATGTCAATTATACCTCAGTTTCAAAAATTGTTTTAGGGGTGCTACCTTGCATAGTAAAACAGTACAATTTAAGCCTACTAATTATAATTCCACTACAACCATGAACATCTTGCATTACTCACCGCTGGTAGTTTAAAGAGAGGCTCTGACATTTCCCTCACGTTCTTACACACTCACATTTCTACACCTGGGTAAATACAGTGTTAGCTAGAACCTACCTGTGGAGTGAGTGTGCCAACCCTTTGCGTTATGGGCTCATTCATCACCACTTCCACCTTGCAAGCATCTTTCTCTTTGGGAATGGCAAACTTCAGGTCCTCTCCGGACAGGAAAGCGGAACTGCCTTTTATCACAGTGACACCACGGTTGATGCTGATGAAGGTGGGGCTGGCCCAGCCCAACAGAAGCAGCATCAGCGGGATGGATGGTCCACCCCAAAGCGGAGAGTGCATGCTGGCGAGGGCTGGCCACGCGTAGCTGTCCAGCAATGAACCCGTGCAACGCAGGAGGGTTTCTGTGCTTCCTCTAGGGATGTCACCTCAAAGTCCAAAGGGCAGGACAAGGGATCCTGACAACATGCCCCTTTCTTTTCAAACTCGGACAAGGAGGCCTTTCAGGCAATCCGTGGACTTTAATAAAACTCGCTGATCACTTCTGACAACGCCAGCTAGATTAAGGTGCTGCCCCGTGGCTTTGCTAATCCTGCAAACAGAAGAAAGGGTTGAGAACAGGGAGTGAGAGAGACCAACGGGTTTGTGTAGCTATTCAAAAGATCCCTTTCCACAAAGGAATCTTTCAGCCAGCCTATAATTTCAGCTAAATTAAGAATAAATAAACTAAATTGACCTCCAGGCCCACCAGAAAGGCAATGCAGCCATTTCATGGTGCAGTTTGTAACTGCTGCTTCCGGAGGGACCCAGAGCCAAGGTCAGTTGTATAGTCGAACAGGACCCAGCCAGCCTCTCTGCTCAAGTGCAGCATTTAGCCCCCAGAGTTCAGAGAGCTGCTTCTGTTTCCTCAGTTCTTAAGTGAGGACTGTCACCTAATTTTTGTAAAGGAGCTGATAGAATGATTTGTATACTCTTCAAAACCAGGATTCTTTCTAAGTCAATGCCACCCAAGTAGGAAATGGACTTATATTTTTGTCACTTGGGTCCAAATATGGCTTTGCTAGACAATCAAGACACCAAAGAAAAACTGAAGAAAATATATTTTTTTCTAAGAGAAAGGCAACTTTTTATTCATGTGTTCAAGGGACAAGGAATTGAGTAGCATAGCTTCAATATACACAGATAATGGCCAGGTATATGCACCATTGTCTACAACAATAACTACTTAATACTGTGTTAAATTTGCACAAATGGAGTCATGTCCACTTTAACCACTTAGAATTTCCTGGTGATTTCTTTGTGGCCTATAAAAATACAAATAATTTTATCCAAAGTAGAATATATTGAAATATACTCTTAAGTTCTAACTACGATTAGGTGAACTAATTGTGGTTATTACGCCAATAGAAGATCTTATATGACAAACCTCTCCTGTCTCACCAGCTGCTCCACTCAACAGCACATTTCAGTAGATCTACCTGTTCTGCTCCTCACTCTGTCACTGGTGAATCCACTCACACACATCCCACCTTGCATCTCTGCCCTACACCCAGCTCTTACATGCAGAAATAAATGAAATCTTTAGAAAGACCTTACATTTAAATGATAATTTTTTCTGTATATAAACAGTGGCTACTGAAACAATGTTTTTAGCAGGGTGTGTACAACATGCCCTGTCATTCCACATTTCACATTTTGAATCACTTCAGTGGTGAGGAAGTACATGACATGAGTCACGAGAGGGTGTAGGCTTTACAGAGCACACTGATTTTTATGGCGTAAGTTCCAAAATAAAGCTGTTCACACACTCCCACTGGCCATGTTGCGCACGCTCAAATTGAATTAGGTTGGGTTGCTTGGGCAAGAATCCAAATTGGATTGCTGAACTTTCACAACAAAATAAACTCTTGTTTGGGTTCACATTGGCATCTAAAACCATTCCAGAAAAGCAGCTCATGCAGAGGGAAGAGAAGCATAAGTAGGTGTTTTCCCAATTTGAGATATCAGGGAAAAAACTTCAAAGGTCACAACCGCAGTGCAATTACAACTAATCCCCCATTAAAATGATGGCACTATCAGGCCCTCCCTGGTCGCACAGCGGGTTAAAGCACACCACTAAGAAGCTAAAGCCACTTCAGCATGTGTTCAAGCCCTGCCCCCAAGGTGACCCACATGGCTTGGCAGACCTCTCCTGTCTCACCCGCTGCTCCCCTCAGCAGTGTACTTCATCGATCTGCCTGTTCTGCTCCCCACTCTGTCTCTGGTGAAGCCTCTCGCCACCCCTGTACTTCTGGCTTGTACTCCAGCTCTGTTTACATAAATAAATAAGTCTTTAAAAAAAAATGATGGCACTCTCATCCCCAGCATCCTTTGCTGCTTTTGTTTTTAACCTTAGCACTTATGACCATCTAAAATAGCACATTTGCTTATTTATGGTGCTCATTGGTATGTCCCTCAACAGGTGAGAATTTGTACCTTTTTATTCATGACTTCTTATGCTTTCCTCCATCCCACACCTTGTCCATGATAAATGGGGTCACACGATAAATGGGGTCACACATGGCCAGTAGAACTGTGGATTGATTAGAAGGAAACTAGGCCTCTGGGGCATTTGCAAAGAAAGCTTAATTCCCACACCAGCTCATTCTTCCAGTACCTAATAGCCGACAGTATTCATTTCTTTCCTGGTCAACTCTCATATTGTTACTCATGGCCAAATTTTGACTATACTTTTAATAATTATCTTATTCTTGAAGTTTTTCTATTAATTTAGTTTAGTAACAAATCAGCTAACAGTGTATCTTTTTACCTAACAGCATATGAGAAAATTGCTCATTCTCTATTGAGACTATAATTAGGCGACAATGTCAACGACCAATATCCTAAAGTTCATCTGTCAGGAAGAAGCAAAGGAAGCCTATTTCTGTGGCTCCCTGTGCCATAATTTTATGCCAAGGGTACATCTGAATTCTGAAAATCTGGATTCTAATCTTCACATTTTTTGGTTTTTTTTTTTCTTCTTTGTAGAGAGATTTATTTATGTATGTATATAGGAACTGGGGCACAGACCAGAGGTGCTGGGGGTAAGAGGCTTTACCAGAGATAGAGCGGGGAGCAGAACAGACATATTGAGTGAAATATACTGATGAGGGGAGCAAAGGCGAAACAGGGAAGGTCTCCGTGCCATGTGGGTCAGCTCCCTACCTAGGGATCAAACTTGTGGTGCAGTGGCTGTGGCTAGCTTCATAGTGCTGTACCTCATGCTGTTGCACCACCAGGGAGCGCCTTCTAAACTTCATGTTTATGAACATCAGTTTCCCCTTCAAAGGGAGGCCATTCCATTTTGTCTCCTCTAAGATTTCCATAAGAAATTAAATACATTGCTCCATATGAAGATATTTTCCCAGTTACAAAGCCCAATATTAATGTAACACTAATGTTACAAAATATATAAAGGGGGGGAAATAAAAGAATTTGTCTCAGGAAAAATAGAATGGCAGGAATTGGGTATTAGTGAAGCCAGAATTAGTTTCAGTAAAAGCAAATAGAGGGCCCTCCCTGGTGGCACAACAGATTAAAGCGCAGCACTATGAAGCTGCCTGCAGCCACTGCAACACAAGTTCGATCCCTGGCCAGGGAGGCCAGACAAAGCAGACCTCTCCTGTCTTGCCCGCTGCTCCCCTCCACAGTGTATCTCAATATATTCTGACTATTCTGCTTCCCACTCTGTGTCTAGTAAACCTTCTCATCCCCCGGCAGCTCTGGCCTGTGCCCCAGTTCTTGTATGCATAAATAAATCTTTAAAAAAAATAGAAAATATCTTATTTACATTCGAATCTTCTCATTTTGTCCTTTATTGTCGTAGGGCAATATTTAGTAGCAAAAATAAATTCTAGTACTTCATACACAATCTGAAGCAATGAAATTAGGAAGAAGAGTATAAGAGCAGCAATTTCCAAACTCAAAATCAAATAAAACTTACCCTTCTATGAACAAAGCCTTGATGAAGATTACAAAATTAGGTGCAATAAAGATCAAAATGCTTTCCTTGCATTTTACTTGCAATGTTATTTACATGCTAATGTTGCTCTTCCATTTATCTCTTGGTGTTGAAAAGCATTAAGTAGTGCACATTCCATGTAAAGTATTGTTCTAATTTTTCACTTGAAGAAGGTAACCGAGAAGGGGAATGTTGTTGGATGAGCAGACCGAGTGGGAAAGGTCAAAACAAGCCAAACAAAAAAACACAAGTTCAATCGCAAAAAGAGACAAGGTCCTGAATTAAAGAAGAACTCATAGATGATAATGGGTCTTTTATCACCCCCAGAGAAAATGATAGTAATTGTCTTTTTCTTTGATACAAAAGTTATGATGGCCAGAGACAGCCACCACTCTTGGCAACATTCAAGTGGGAAGGCGAGCATATTTTGACAAGTCCATCTTCTTGACCCCAGCACAGGTCAGTCAGAGCCTCGGTATCCACTTGTCTACTTTGCTCTGGTTGCTGACATGGGAGCATCGTGAGGGTCAGCAGAGTCAGGGGGAGTGGAAATAGGAGAATGGGCACATGGCTTGATTTCTCAAGAGACTGATAGCTGATTATGGCCATATCAGACTTAATTTGATTTTGCAATAGAAACAAATCCTGTCTCTGCTTGCTTGTGGGTTCAGCTATTTCTCAGCATTTCAAGATCCTCACGACATGGCTGCAAATTGGTTCTGTCTTACAGACCATTTTCCCACCACTGCTTTTATTCTTCATGAGGAAATCATGCAATCTAAGTGTATCTGTAGAACTCAATAAAAGTGGGTCAAAAATGTTCTGAAAGGTGGAAAACCACACTGTCTTGAGTTCATTCTTATAAAAATTCAAAAGGTTTCTCTAGCAAAACTTCTTAAGTTTTGCAGAACAGAAGAAAATGATGTGACATTTTATTTGCTGGAAGAGGAGTATGAACTAGTATTTATATCACAATTACACATTTGGCTTAACCATAGGTACATCTAGTCTTCAAGATGATATATTCTGTTACTTCAAGATGATATAAATATTCTGTTAGAATATTCTGTGCACAGTAAGATAAAAATGGACCCCAGCCCTATGCAGTGGAAATTCTCAATGGTCAGTGAGAATGATGTGCTCTAATAAGAGTCATATACACATACCTTGTAAAACCTTGAGGTTTTACAATGGCAGCTACAAACCACCAGGACACACCTTCCTCACCACAGATATCAAGATATCAATAACCTATCATAGTTTTTCATTTGCCTGTGTTGCTGTTTGCCCAACTCTCATGTGCCTGATATTCTCTTCATCTGTGCTCCAGGTAGTTATTACCATTCAGCCAAAGACAAATAAAGGGGCAGTGTGTCTTCCTTGTGCTTACGACTATTACCCTGACCATGGCTTTGAATCTTACAAATACCCAAAAATCTAACGGAAAAAAATAAGCTAAATACAAGATTTTAAGTAAAACTTAGCCATTTCAGGAGCAATGCATTGCTATCCACCCAAATGAGTTTTTTATATCTTGACTAAATTAGTGGGGAAAAAACTGAAATTCCTCTGTCTTTTACTACACATCAGAA